CTAATTTAATATAAAATTGAGAGAGTGACCATAAAAGGATCAAAATTGTATTTAGATTTAATATATATACTGAATATTGTTATTTAATAATATATAATTTTTAATTTAATAATATATTATGGATCGTTAATATTCTATTTATAATATTTTATTCAATAGGTTATTATTTTATTATTGAGTCTGTAATAATTAAATTGAATGTTATCTTATCAAGTTATTTTTTTTTAATTAAAAAAATATTTTGTGGTGTTTAAATTTTTTTTGAGATTATTAAAAAATTTAATACAATTTTTAAAAAATAATTTAATTTATGGCATTATATTATTTTATGCTTAATTGCAAAAAATAGTCTTTTAACTTTTTTCTTGTTTTTCAATTTGGTTATTAACATTTGTTTGTAAATTAAATTTTTAATTAATTTATTTATTCAAATAAAATAATTCATACTCCTAATTACAATTAGAGATTTTTTTATTGGATTTACAAATGATTAATTTTGGATCAAGCTCAATATAGACTAATTAAATATTAATTTTAGTTAATAAAAAATATAATAAATATGAATATATTTACAATAATATAAAATAAAATATTAAAATATTAGGAACTATTTTTATAATTATACCTGATTTATATTTTTAATAAGAATTTTATTAGTTTATTATAATTAAAAAAGAATCGGAGAAAATATCTTCACTGCTACACGTGTCCAAATCTGACGTCCTTGATCATAGCCCTACACCTGGACCTTATTGGTCATGAATGGTGCCGATTGCGCCGCAACAACATCACGCGCTCCGCGGGCGGTGTAGATCGTACTCGCGAATGAAACCCTAAACCCTAGTGACGAAGGCCTCCTCCTCACTTTAAAACCCCGAACATATTATTGTCTTGCCATCATTTTGGGTTTTTGGAGAGTCTCCATTTTCTTTAGCAAAAACCCTACCCGAAACTTTCTCCTTTTCATTTCTTCAATCAAAAATGGGCAAGTCAAGCAAGAAATCGATTCCCAAGGTACATTTATTTGACGAAATTTTTGTTAGCTCTTTAGTTCTATTTGAAAAAATGTTGTAGTCTCCCTAAGCTGTGTGAAGACTGGGTTTGTTTATGCTTACTGTTGTTCTTCTGCAGGTCGAAGCAGTGGCTGCTGTCGCTGCTGCCGTCACTCCGGCGAAGAAAGGTACAAAAACTGCTTTTGAAGATGTAGGAAAAGTGACGGTGATTTTGAGGCGTCACATAGGCGTCGTTCCTTATCACAATTGAAATAGATATTTATGATGTTTCGGTGTTATGGGGATTTTTTGAAGCTAATTCTTCGAACGCAATTAATTTATGAGCTTTTGAAAACTGTTTCGATGGCCGTGAAATCGATTCCGACCATTTCGTTCTGAAACTAAATTGAAGCGGAATCAGGATTGAAATAAAATCAAACTAATTTCAGCTGGTTGTGTTTGGTTTT